CGTTGTGAGCTTTCCGCGTATGTCTTTGGGTGGAATTTCATTTTCACTTATAATCCCTCACCTTGAGAATCCATGCTGGAGAGAGCGCGGGAATGAGCGAAGAAGCACGTTGCTCAAAGTGAGGCATCAGCACACGCTGCCGATGATTTCCAAAGGACTTCTCCTCGGAAGAAGCAGATACTCCGAGCGAAGTCAGCAGAAGCGGAAGCCTGATTTCAGAGCTGTGATCTAAATAAAACTCTTCGAAGAGCGCTGTGATAAACAAGGGAGCCGATCTTACCTCCCGTATAAGGGGCTCCACGCTCACAACATGGCGCTAGGTGCCGCTGCATTGGAGATCGTTGTTGGATCGGATTCTCAGCAGTGAGCGAACTCTGTGTTAAAAAATCGCTTTATCTGCATGTAAAAGTAGTGATCTAGGAGGGGAGGTGATTCCACTACGGGGGACCTTTCAAACTCTGTTCTGTCAACATCTTGCAGCTTATGAAGTTCTGTGAGCTTCTGCTATGAGCTACACAATTTCGACAATTAATTGCATTCTGTTTCTTTGAGGTCCACGTTACACCGAATTCGGTGGTGTGAGGTCGTTATCTATGCTTCGAGAAAAGAATCTCCACTGGATTACGCGGCACGGCGCGCACTGCCAGGGCGCCCGTTTTCCGTCAACCATGCCATTCTAAGCACGGTACAGCCGCTGAGAAACATGATTTGGCTGCGCTTCGAGCCCTGTTGCAATTTTCTTTGACTTTACATGAGAGAGAGAGAGAGAGAGAGGGTAGTGTCCTCGTAACTTAGCCGATTGGAGCGCGGGTACCACCCACGGATATGATTGGTACATCAGCATCTCGAAGAAGAGCGTAGGGTCCTCCAGTCTGTTCTATCACACGCTCGGCTTACTCTTGACTTCACTTTGATACTGAGAAAACATTTTAGCCCGGTGTCTGTAAACAGGTCACTTTCCTACCAAGTGGGGAAAAGTTATGCGGAATACGCTTCCCCCGTACCTTTCCCCACCCCATGCTATCTTCTATCTTCCCGAATTTTCTGAAGCCTCCCATCTTCTTCACAGGGTTCCGGAATTCTCTTCGAAAACCTATCCTCTTTCCTTCCAAAAAAAAACTGTCGCCGCCTGCCCAACCGCCGAAAGGATGGGGAGGGGGGAAAATGATATAGGGCACTTGAAACGGTAATAACCTCGAAAAGACTTCATTGTGTTCGAGAATTTTACAGCCCAGCGAACAGGGGTGGTCCACCTCACTCCACTTCTCATCTCTTCCGTAGCAGCCAACCTCAGAGACTTATTAGGCGTCCACATTGTCTGTCCTGGCCCTGAGCTGCAGGAAAAGTGAACGGCCGACTACAAATGGAAGTTAGCTCCAAGCAGACCAAAAGTTCACATCTGCTCTCATGCCACACTAACTTCTCGATGTTATCATCAGTTCTAAAGTGAATTGTCTTTGAAACATGTCCGTTTTTACAGCCACCGTAACCCGCTTCGCAACAATTACCGTATACCCGTGTTTCGGGAAGAATTCTATAATTCGCAGCAATGATTCATGAACAACTCTCTGAAGGTTTGATGACGGATAATAGAAAAGCGGCAATGCGGACGCCCAAAACACATCACACTGGCATCAATAGGTCCGACACCAACTACTCCCGTGGGGAATACACGCCGGCGCCAACGACGCAAAACCGACACATGATATTCATTAGTACGGTATTCACAAGGGAATTTCACCCAAGTGTTGCCGCTTCTAAAGTTCTTCCAATTTCAAGAAATAGGCATTGTTTATGGAATCTTTCATTGAGTATGTACAAGGAATTGAGTGGAAACATAGGGAAATGAATCTTCACATAAAATAGTAAATTACTGGTTACTATCATCAACAACAAACTGAGCAGTAACCAAAACAACATATGTGCTTCTTCAAATTCAAAACAAGTAACGAAACAAATTTATAGAACAATTTAAATCAACAATACCGCATTAATACAACCGTCATTTTCAGGATTATTCGTTACTTGTGCAAATTTTCCCCAGACAACCTAAAAAGATATCAGTTCATGATGAAAACTTTCTTTATAAACAAAACAGCGACGCAAACTGAGAAAGCGTTAGCTTTTCTGTAACCCACCTTTCCTCCTTGCGTTACCATACCCAACTCAGATACGTTCACTTCGATTATGGTACCCTTCGTTATCACTCCTAATGACGTATACATCTGACTCGAAGGATTCTTCTTTACCCCAACAATCGGAAGACAGAAGGTCGTCTGTAGTTCCGGATGCGTCACGTGAGCCTGAAACCCCTCACTTGAGATGAAAATAGAAGAAAAACTCGTAAATAACAACGAAGAAGGCCGCATATTTAGGAGCTTATGGTAAAACCCTGCCAGCTGTGCAGGTCAGAGTCCTAGGAAACGTGCACGTGAGTGGGTAGGACGTAAGTTCACGAAAGGAGTGTCCAATAGACTATACCGGAATCCTAGGAACGGGGTTATGGCACTGAGTTTTCGTTGGCAGAACCATGTTGCATTGACGCGCACTAATTAGCTAGACATTCCTAGCTAGCTGATTCGGGCGTATCGTAGCAGTTGCAGTTGGATCAACGAAATTCTGGTGTTAATCTCATGCATGCCACCCTTCCGTCGCGCGGATCTCGAAGCCGAACTCACCCACGTGGCCTTCATGGCAGTCAATCACTCGGAGTCAGGTAGCCGACAGTGAGTGATTGAGAGGACCTACAGTAGAACTAAACAGTCATTGATAAAAAGTGGATGGAGTAAGACCGTCGCTAAGATGTTCATGATTGAATGAAAAATAAACGTAGACTCAAAACTGGCGCAGTACAGCGCTGAAGGTGAAAGAAACATTTCGCCAAAGGTACGTCGCCCGCAGTACTGGGCTTGGAGAAAATTTTCGAGGTCGGAAGCCTTGGCACTCGAAGGCGCCACTTAATACAATAAGCACCCAAGGAGCTCGAAACTGCCAGCGCATGGATAGCAGAAAAAAAGGATAAAAAGGGAGTTATCTCTACAGGTAGGGGGGGGGGCAAAAAAGGGTCACTTTGGCCGAGTCACATATCAGCGAAGTTTTCGCAGCCCAGACAGAGGAAGTGGATACGAGTACCAGGGCGGAAGATACCCAAGATGTTCCTCGATAAGCAGGAGCAGGCTGCCGCCATCACCCTTCATGTACACCAAAATATGAAGTCATCTCCAATCGCAGCCTGACTGGAAAAGGCCTCTGGAATTCACGTCACCTCTAAACAGCTGCGAAACTTCCTGCATAGGGTCACCCATCATCTTCACCGCAGTCGCCAAGGCGCGCGGAAGTTCCTGGAATGTGAAGACCGATATTTTCTTCGTGGACCCCGGACTGAAGGTGAGCGCTGACGGTTACATCGACCAACTCGTGGAGAATATCCTTCATGTCATCGCCTGTACCTTCTTGGAGACTTCGTACTGCTACAGGATTGCCTCCACACGGAATCGAAGGGCGTTGGAAAAACTTTCGCCTACTTGGAATGGAAGGACGTTGAGTACCTGAAGAAGACGGAATATCCAAGTGTGTCACCTGACCTAAACCCCCTCAATTACCCGGTTCGGGCGGAGCTCAACAGGGTGGTCTACAGTGGCGGAGAAATCAACGATCTCGCTGAACTCAGGTACCGAATCACGGTCGCGTGGCAGAATCTCTCGATGGCGCTCGTCCAGAAGGCTGTGGCGGAGTATCATGATAGTATACAATATGCTGTTGGTGGTGGAAATGTCCGATCAGAATTTAATAAGTGTAACTTATAGCGCCTCGAAAGTCAAGGAAGAAAAGTGACTTTTTTGTCCCCCCTGTATATGGAAGTGAGGGTTCACCTACTAGCTGCAGTCATGATTTCTGCAAACGGCAGGGTGTGGTGACAAGGCGTGGATTGGAGGCAGCCAGGCCGGCCTTTTTCACCAATGATGCCACCTGTGTCCGTCACAATTGATGGCCCTGGCTGCGATCCAAGTCCCACCCCTTCACACGCCCTGTCGTTTGCGAAGATCATAAATGAATGTACCGTTAACTCAGATGAATCTATATCTGCCCTCCTCCAGTAAATGTTCCGACTGGTTTCAGAGATTCAGTAGTGTGATTAGTAAACAACAGAATAGTTCACATAACTAACACATAAAAAATAAGTCTATCCACCATTCTATAGGCATTCAGCGGGCAAAATGACACAAAAACAAGAAAACCAACTTTAACGTGCCGAATACATACCTTTGTGAAACGTAGTCCCATAGGTCGTATGAACCGCTCGAACTTCGCGGGTTTACGTGTAAAAGACTCTCCAACGAAGGTAACCTGCCCAGTAGAAACCATAAGGAAATTTGATGCACTACAAAATGGAGATAACTACAACATACCTTTGTAACCATTCTCTTCCAACCTTTCCTGTTTGTCTTGCCAGACTTCACGACTTTGAAGGCCTCCGCGTCACTGACAGCTCTAACTTGAGGCAGAGGGACTTGATATTTGCCCTAAAGATAACATGAAGATATGATCTGGAAGTAGTATAAGGCCACTTGCTCTGAGCCGTAATCTCACTGTTATTGAGTGGGATAACGTGGTGGCGCCACAAGATCAGCTCTTGGACGCTCCCGGGCTAGGCTGTGCGGACTCTGGTCGTCTGCGCTCTTCCAAATCTGAGCCTAGGGAGGGGTGCGACCACTGCGGCGCACCGCCGCGTAGCCCCATTTAGTTACAAAAGCGCCCGTGGTTCTGCTCATAGTTATGGGGAAGATAGTTGAATCTCCTCCTCTGCCTTTTCAAAATCACTAAATATTGGCAAAGCACTCACAGCTTTCTGTTTCCTCTTCTGTTTGATCATATTGGAAAGAACTGTACCAGTAGTTTGTTGCTGACGATCCAAGAGATAGGCAGGAACGGCACCCTGAATTAAGCACTCAGTAATTTTCTTCAACAAGTAACCTCTTTAGTACCCACCTGGTCAGGTGTGTCCACAGTACTCTTTTGCTGCTTTTCTTCATGCTGCTTCAGTAACTTGCGCATTTCAACCTGAAATCACTTGTCATAGAGTATGTCTGAAGATTTTCTAGGCAAACCAGTTATTTCAAAGTGATATGTAATGCAATCGATGTATTCTCACCTTCTCCGAATATCTCTTCTTGTGGTACAACTTGGCTTTATGACCGCGCAGCTTCTTAGCCATTTGAGAGCGTTCATGGCCAGCTCGAGCTTGTTTTTTTCTCCTTCAAATTTTCACTATTTCGGACCAATTGACGGAAATTAAAAAAATGGCAAATTTATTGAAAGAGTTGGAAGAAAGAAAGGAGGAATAAGAAAGAGTAAAAAAATAACACAAATTTTCATTAGATACTGCCTAATACATCTTAGCTGCTACGCTCCACAGCTCTCCTATTGCGGTACTAGTGCTGTTTGCTTCGATGAAGCGTTTAGTGCCCAACATATAAAGTGCACCAAATGCGACTCAGGAGATAACTATCGGATGTGGCAAATTGGGAGAAAGAAAGACTGAAAGAGAACTGGTTCATATTTACTTCTTTGGCGCGCATTTTCGTGTTCTCTCATTCGCTAGCGACTTTAGTCGGTGCTAACGTAGTTGGGAGGGGCCACGCGGCTCGCGGCGAGTGATGACTCATCGGCTCTTCACTCATCGGCATACTTGAAACGCGAATCTAGCAGCCAAATCAGAATAAAACAAACAAGATTCACCGGGAACTTGCTGAAGAATTCCACAGAAGCTAAAAATTTGATTTTTTGTAGTCAACAATAACAGTCAACGACAAACATGCAACAAAATTTTGTAGTTTAGGCAAGAACCTTGCAGCCTAAAACTGTTTCTTTGCACTTTTCAGTGTTAACTGTTTTAACTTTTGAATATAGCTAGGGCGAAGTTATATTCATGTCCTAAACACGAAATTACTTCTATTTTGCCGAGGAGGGAGCAGAAGAGCAGATGAGTCATCGCTCGCCGCGAGGCCCCTCCCAACTACGTTAGCACCCTTAGTCAATATATTTTTGACCATCCCCTTGTTACGTGTTCCTCCTGACCTCTACGCAATTTCGCCCGATCGATACTTACACTTTCCTTTGGCGCTCACTCTCCAATCCTCACGCGCCGCAAAGTTAGAACGCGACCTGAAGCTGCCTGCCGACCCCCTTGTTGCCGTGGCGGATAACATACACGTATCCAGGGACTATTGCAACGGACGTAATTCTTCGAAATCATAGTCTACACTGATTATAAGAACCATGAAGAACAACAATTACGATCACGTTTTCCTCAGAAGTTCTCCGTTTTAAAAAGGTACGCCCTACTCGGACTAGCGTGGCCTACGTCTATGTGTTTATTCATCCGCTAACATCGGTTCAAAGAGGGGCCTGCACGTGAAATATGCAAAATGAAAGTATGTGGTCAAAACAGATAAAACACAGGATACTGTGGCCACAGCACACCGTCTCAAAGACCGACGAAAAAAGTAAAACATACTGTCTTTCTTCATAATCGAGTCGTCTTCCATGCCTCTTTCGGTGGAGGTCCATATAATCATTTTGCGGCTGAAAAGTAGGGCCCGATAAAATACAAAAAAACACTAAAATCATGAAGTGAATGAAAAATCCTTACCATTTTGGTGAGTTAGCTTTGTGTAAAAGTATGGCCCAAAGTTATCTGAAATGAAGTGTAAAAATGCAGTTGTATTCCTGCGCAACTTTAAAGCATACCTTCGATCAAAGAAATGTTTACAACGACATTTTTAATAGAATCAACGGCGACGAAAACAGTCGCAAACAAGCAAGATACAAAAGAGGCATGACATCAAAAGATAATGCAATAATATAATAGTATATGGCAAGGTAACTATATAAGTAATCTGAGAAGACAACTAGAAGGAAACAAATAGGTTAACA